CACCTGCTGTCTCCCTCCTTCACTCACTGTTTCACCTGTCACCCTCCTTTACTGTTTCACCTGCTGTCTCCCTCCTTCACTCAGTTTCACCTGCTGTCTCCCTCCTTCACTCACTGTTTCACCTGCTGTCACCCTCCTTCACTCACTGTTTCACCTGCTGTCACCCTCCTTCACTCACTGTTTCACCTGCTGTCTCCTTCACTCACTGTTTCACCTGCTGTCACCCTCCTTCACTCACTGTTTCACCTGCTGTCTCCCTCCTTCAATCAGTTTCACCTGCTGTCTCCCTCCTTCACTCACTGTTTCACCTGCTGTCACCCTCCTTCACTCACTGTTTCACCTGCTGTCTCCCTCCTTCACTCAGTGTTTCACCTGCTGTCACCCTCCTTCACTCACTGCTTCACCTGCTGTCTCCTTCACTCGCTGTTTCCTGCTACACTTGCCCCTGCATTCCCTAGCTGCTCCCTACTGCTGTGTTCCCTTCCTCTGCCTTACCCATGCACCACTCTCAAGCACTGAATACTTGTCATCTCCAGGCCAGGGTCGCCCCTCCACAACTGGCACACCAACACGATTTTTACCACATGTTCCAAAATCCTTCTGTGGAGATCAGCTCCCAAATAGCCTCAGGGAGAAGAGAAATGTAAATAGCAGTCAAGGCTTAAATGTGAGTGTGGAGGAGGAGACCACTGTCACCCTTAACTTGAGGTTAACTGGTGGGTGCTTGTGTATTCACCCAGTTGTGCTTGAGGGGATCGAGACACTTTTCCTGGTCCTCTCACAAGGTGACTTGGTCAACATTTGTTGGACTCGAACCTTAGACTTACAATTGCTTTCAAACATCTGATCGATCATTCGGCTTTTGATTCATTTCGTGCTCCGTTGTAACTCTCGAAAAGGATTTTATATGTCGTGATCATATCTCCCCTTATACTCATTGCTTCTAGCGTCGTTGGATTGAGTTCTTTTGAGTATTTTCGGGTAGCGTGTAACATAAGCTCCGTAACTAGTCTTTTTGCAAACCTCTCAAGGTGTGGGTGGGTGGGTGTGTGTGTGTGTGTGTGTGTGTGTGTGTGTGTGTGTGTGTGTGTGTGTGTGTGTGTGTGTGTGTGTGTGTGTGTGTGTGTGTCTGTGTGTCTGTCCGTCCGTCCGTCCGTCCGTCCTCAGGGACGGTCACGCTGCCACTAATTGGTTTAGGTGTCAAGCCTGACCCACCACCACACAACCAACACCACCACACCACCCCACCACACCACCCCACCACACCACCCCACCACACCACCCCACCACCACCACACCACCACCACCACACCACCACCACCACACCACCACACCACCACCACACCACCACACCACCACCACCACACCACCACCACCACACCACCACCACCACACCACCACCACCACACCACCACCACCACACCACCACCACACCACCACTACCACACCACCACACCACCACACCACACCACCACACCACACCACCACACCACACCACCACCCCACCACCACCACACCACCCCACCACCACACCACCACACCACCACACCACCACCACACCACACCACCACCCCACCACCAACCACCCACACCCACCACCACCACACCACCCACCACCACACCACCACACCACCACACCACCACCCCACCACACCACCACCCCCACCACACCACCCCACCACACCACCCCACCACACCACCACCCCACCACACCACCACCCACCACCACACCACCCCACCACCACCCCACCACAACCACCACCCCACCACACCACCACACCACCGCCCCACCACCACACCACCCCACCACCACACCACCACACCACCACACCACCACCCCACCACACCACCACCCCACCACACCACCTGCTCCACCTCGTGCTTATATGTGGTTTGTGCCTTTTGATACTTCTGTATATGCATGCATGCATGCATATGTATGTATATACATAGAGAAATGGCAGTCAGCAGGATTCAAAACCATGTGTGAGGGCAGTGGCGTAGCTCCCCAAGTGACGCTTGTAGACCACTCAGCCTCAGATGCCATCTGTGGCTGAGTGGTCTACAAGCTTTACTGGGTGTGGGTGTTGTGGGTTATATATATATATATATATATATATATATATATATATATATTATATATATATATATATAATTATATATATATAAATGTATATAATGCTAAAATCACGAGCAAACTATACAAGATGCAAAACAACCACAGGGAGAGTTGAATGATAGCTGTAGGCCTTTCGTGTTTCAATCAACACATCAGGAGCTTGCATTGTTGCAGAAAAGAGGAGGTCCATGCAACGTCAAAGAATGTCCTCAACATCAATGTTGAGGACATTCTTTTCTCCTCCCTCCCCCATCCCCCCAGGTCTGCCAGCACCTAGTTGTGTGTCCTGGGGGTCGAGCCACTCTGCCTTACCCACCCTCTTAATCTACTCTGACGGATCCTGTTGTGCCTCTTCTTGAAGCTTTGTATCGTAGAATTGACCTCTGTCGCATTCTCATTCCATTTGTCTTCCACCTTCATCTGGTTCATTTCTGTTGTCTGACACCTTCATCTGGTTCATTTCTGTTGTCTGACACCTTCATCTGGTTCATTTCTGTTGTCTGACACCTTCATCTGGTTCATTTCTGTTGTCTGCCACCTTCATCTGGTTCATTTCTGTTGTCTGCCACCTTCATCTGGTTCATTTCTGTTGTCTGCCACCTTCATCTGGTTCATGTAAGTCTTCCAGTCTGCCTCTGCGTCTTCACATCTCTGGGTCAGCCTCTCTGCCGTCTGATCATGTTCTTCTCAATCCCATCTTCTCCAGCATCTCTTGCCTCATTCACCACCCTGCCGCAATCCTGCCGCCCACCCTGCCGCCACCCTGCCGCCACCCTGCCGCCACCCTGCCGTCCTGGGTTCACTCTCCCGGCCCAAACTTTCTTGTCTGTATAATAATTGTCTTACCACTACTCACTACTTTCATCCTCACTGCTGCCTCTCCCACCCCCACCCCCTCCAGTTCATACTGTCGTCCTCCCCTCACAGCATCATATTCCTCACACTATCATCTCTTTCACGCTATCATCTCCCTCATGGCATCATCTCCCTCATGGCATCCTCTCCCTCATGGCATCATCTCCCTCATGGCATCCTTTCCCTCATGGCATCATCTCCCTCATGGCATCCTCTCCCTCATGGCAACATCTCCCGTACTGCACCATATCAAATCTTCCTCTCTTTGTCCGTCAGTTTTTCCGACTTTGCATTTGCCTGGGTTGAACTCGAGCAGCCACTTATCGGATCACGTCTGCAGTTCTTAATTTTACATCGTCAACAAACATGGATAAAAATATAAGGTATATCAGAGGTTGTGACACACAGGACTCAGTCCTCTCTGGTAGGTTGACATATAAGAACTTTGCGTAATCATCTAGTTGTGGTTACAGAGGTCGAGTCATGGCTCCTGGCCCTGCCTCTCAAACTGTTACTACGGTCAGTGTATAGATTTTGTCTCTACCACTTTGTCCAGATCGTTCCCTTGATCACTAAGGCAGAAGAATTAGACATAGGTGCAGAATCTGGGTATCCGTATTTGTAGACGTCTTGCTATCCAGTGACTTTATCAGTACAAGGACATAATGTGAAGATTATATGCAAGAGGCGAGGTAATCAGTCCCTCAGTCTTGGAGTTGGTGGAGTGCACCGAACGGTGCTTTTAACATCTTTGTCACTGCGTTTTCGATAGGCAACTGTGCCCTTGTGTACCTGTTTCCCGCTTCTCCAGCAGCGTGTCCCTAACCTCCCAAACAATTCGTCTCACTATTTTGTGCGTCGTTATGTTAACTTCGTCCCTCTGTTGTGTGTTCTCTTGGCTCTAGGACTAGTTTCATTGCAAACCTTTGCACTTTTTCTAGCTTCATGATATTCTTGATCAGGTGTGGGCTCCATGCTGGTGCTACATACTCAGAGATGGGTATAGTTGTCTCTTTCATAGTGTTCGAATGCCCCATTGCTTAGTTACCTGACAGTTAATATTAGATTTGGGGATAAGTTCGTATTTTGGAGGTTGGTGTGTATAGTGATGGAGTGGAGGTGAAGTGTTGTGTACGTATCACCATCACTGATGCTGGTGGTTTGAGGCTGAGGCCACCCCTGATTCTTCTTGTTGGTCTGTGAAGGTGATGCCAGCCCTGATTCTTCTTGTTGGTCTGTGAAGGTGATGCCAGCCCTGATTCTTCTTGTTGGTCTGTGAAGGTGATGCCAGCCCTGATTCTTCTTGTTGGTCTGTGAAGGTGATGCCAGCCCTGATTCTTCTTGTTGGTCTGTGAAGGTGATGCCAGCCCTGATTCTTCTTGTTGGTCTGTGAAGGTGATGCCAGCCCTGATTCTTCTTGTTGGTCTGTGAAGGTGATGCCAGCCCTGATTGTTGTTGATGATCTGTAAGGCTGAAGCCAGCCCTTACAAACCATAAACAGTTATTTGATTAGTGTTTAGGCAAAATTTATTAAACATTGGATTGTAATAGTTGCGAGGTGATTGTTGGGAGGGGGAGGGTAGTTGCGAGGTGATTGTTGGGAGGGGGAGGGTAGTTGCGAGGTGATTGTTGGGAGGGGGAGGGTAGTGGCTTGGTGATTGTTGGGAGGGGAGGGTAGTGGCTTGGTGATGGAAGGGGGAGGGTAGTGGCTTGGTGATGGGAGAGGGAGGGTGTGGCTGGGTGATGGGAGGCGGAGGGTAGTTGGTGGGTGATGGGAGGGTAGAGGCGGGGGTGATTGTTGGAAGGGAGAAGGTAGTTGGAGTGGCAGGGTGGGTGGTTGAGGGTTGTATAGTGGTGGGGGAGTGAACATAAAGGGTGTGAGGCAAGAACTAGTCTCATGAGTAAGGTGGTAGACTCATGTATTTTTATGCCAAATTCAGGTGTTTTCTGCTGGTTTAAAAGATATTTAACATTATGTATTGATAATGAGTAATTACTACATGTCTTTACTTTCCTTCCCACACAGAAGATTATGTGGTATAGTGATATGTGAAGTGAAAAGTGGAAGTGAGAAAATAGTGATTTGTGGTAGTGGTGGAGGCTTGGTGTGTGTGCAGGTGGTAAGGTGGTGTTAGTGGGCCTCTGGCAGGCCCCTGGCAACAAGAACAGTGCCTACTACCACACCTCACCCACAAGCCTCATCTTCGTCAAGTGCTACACGACGGGGTCTTACGTTAAGTGCAGTAATCAAGTGTTGTGAGTGGCGCCACCACTTATGTGAAGGACTTGAGAGCAAGTCCTGTACCAGTGCTGCTCTTGTAGTGGTACAGGCACCTGATCACCATTGTAGTGCCACAGTGGGTCGGGGGGATGAAGAAGAGCAAGTTGCTGAGTCGGTTGCTGAGGGGCGGCTCTGGGGGCAGCACCAAGCAGCCAGCTCCCAACGCTCCTGAGCTGGGTGAAGCTGCTGTCGCTCCCAACCCCGTGGTAGCCGCCCGCACCACCAGTGGCCGCCGCAGGGAGACCGTAGCCGTCAGCACACCCTCCACTGGTGGTGCCTCTCCTCGGGAGATATTCCACCAACAGCAACAGCAACAACAGTCTGGAGGGGCGCCACAGAAGGCAGGTGTGGAGAGGTCTTCCTCCTGGAAGTACACACATGACCACACACCAGACTCATTCAGCATCAACAGCTCTCCATCTATTCTGGATGGTCGTGGCGGAGCTGGCCTGCAGGGACGGGCAGAAGAGACGCAGACTATCGAGAAGAGTCAAAGCTGGAGCGGCGATAGGCTTCTTGACTGTGCCACTGACTCAGGCTCCAGCCGGGGAGGTACCAACAACAGCAGTCGTGCAGGGAGTGGTAGCCGAGCGGGCAGCCGTACAGGCACCAGCAGCCGGTCCTCTCGCGAGCGTGGCCAGGCCAGTGGCCCTGCCAGCCTGCCTGCTAGCAGCCGTGCAGGTAGCCGGGCAGGCAGCCGTGCAGGCAGCGACCGAGGCGACTCTACTCCCAGTAGTGTTTATGATCATCCTGTTGACCACTCACCACGACTCTCCACTCAGACTGACGCCGACGGCTACGAGAACGTTGAGTTGCCATCACCGCAGCGGGACAGCGGCGACAACAGCAGCAGCGAGCAAGGCAGCTCCAGTCGTCAGCACGGCTCGCGGCTTAGCGTGAAGAGCAGCGGACGAAAGTCGCGGAGACCCAGTCCGCGACGCCAGGGAATCCTCAGTAAAGCCTCTCAAGAGTCCACTGAAAGTCGTGAGGGTAGTCGCACTGCTCGGGGTAGTGTGCGAGGTACTGTACCCAGCATCTCTCTCAGTACCTCCAGTCCTGTCCCGCCTCCTAAAGCCTCGGTCAACCGGTCACCTTCGCGAAAATCCCGTCGTTCTCCAAACAGGTCTCCCAGCCGACCTCCGAGCCGCTCTCCCAGTCGATCAGATAGCCGGAGGAGAGACAGCCGGAGGAACAGCCGATCTCCCAACAGGGGCCCCGATGGGTCACCGGCTCGGGCACCAAGTAGGTCACCGGTAAGGATGCCCAGTAGACAGTCTCCCGGTGACCCTTGGACCCGCATGGTACCTCAAGACCAAACTCAGGCACGTTACAACGGCGAGCCGCAACAGCCTGGTGGACCCAGGAGCATGTCTTACGAAGAAGGGAGAGTGTCTGGAGCGAGGAGCCCGCAGCCGCCTCTCTGGAAGGCTCGCTCGTGGCAGCAATACAGTGTTGGCCACAGCACACCACAGAGTGAACGCGCCCGACAGCTGGCCAAGAGTCGCTCGTGGCAACAGCAGCAGTCAACCATCCTCACCCACTCGGCCGACGCTGGCATGGGACGCCCACGACAACATCACATCACCCGGCAGGAAGCTGTGCAGGCACATCCAACTGCCCCCATGGGTAAGAGTCGCTCGTGGCAGCAGAGTCACGAGGCTGACCCTGTGCCTGGTCCCCTCCCACGCACCTACACAGTTTCCGAACGGCGGGGTCGGCGTTCCTCCATACGTCTGGCACCTCCCTCACCTCCACGCCCCAGCCCGCCTTCCTACTCACAATCCCCAGCCAGATCCCCGTTAGCTGCCCTGCCACCCCAGTCTCACCCTTCACCCAACACACACACGCCCATACACGACACGCAAGGTCACCTCCAACATCGTCACCAACCACCAATGCGCACTCAGACCAGTGTGGGAAGTTATAATACTCCAGGCACAATGACGCCTCATGTAACAGATTATGTGGAGTTGCGAAACTACGAGGCCATGGAGCGCCAGCAGCAGCAGCAGCAGGAGTATGTGGACCTGCGGCAGTACCGAGCAGACCAGCTTCGCTCAGACCAGCTTCGCTCAGACCAGCTCCGCACCGACCAGCTCCGCTCAGAACAGCTCCGTAACACCCGCGACCCTGTCTGGCGAGAGCGATATCATACTCCCTCAACATTTTCTCAGCTCAAGCAGCTGCAGCAGCAACAGCTGCAACAACAACAGCTGCAGCAACAGCAGTTACAACAGCATTTGCATCAACAACAGTTGCAGCAGCAACATCTGCAGCAACATCAGTTGCAGCAACAACAGTTGCAACAACAGCAGTTGCAGCAACACTATCAGAAACAGCAGTTGCAACAGCAACAGGCTCAGCAGTTCATGCGGCAGAAGCAACAACAAAGGCCGCTCCAACATCAAAAGTCAATAATGCAACAGACTGGCTACAATTCTAGTCAGTTTGGGTCTCCTTCGCAATTGGACGGAGAATACGCCTCGCTTCAAGAGGTTCGTGATGCCATGATGAGAAACAGTTCCACTCGCGAGGCTAAGATGAGGGAAGGCTCGGTGCGGGAAGCTTCCATAAGAGACGGTACTGTACGCTACCGCTTGTCCACGGCGGCGCAAGCTAGCAAACAACAGCCTCAGAACCACAGTTCTCACGCGGGACCTGTAAAGTCCTCCTCGCTCATGACTTCCCAAGAGTTGCTGAACACGCTCAAGAGGCAACTGGCACTCTCTTCGCCCACCCGCACTACCCGCAGCAAGAGCCTGGAGGCTGGGCGGGCGGCGGCGGCCCTCAGTGCCGAGAGTGGGCGTGATGCGGTTGGAGGGAGGGAGGTGACTGACGAGGGAATCGTCGACCGCCTTTCACCTGCCCTCCTGGCCCTGGTGGCGGAAAAACGGGCGCGCCTCAAACGGTCTACAGGCGCCTTCTCAGGTAGCGGCGGGGGACGCGTGGCAGTGTTGCGGCAGGTCACCGCGCCACCAGCGAGATGTACAGTAGACACCCTTCACAACGCCGCCGCCGGACACCTGCTGCCCTCACCCACACACTGCCTCACTCGTCTGCATGTACACTGCTACACCAGCAACCTTACACGCCACACACACTACACGCCACACACACTACCCGTCTCACTAAACGCCATACTCACTACACGTCACACACTACACGCCATGATCACATTACACGCCACACACTACACGTCACACTCACACCTGCTGTCCTCACACTGCTTGCATGTACACTATCACTCCAGCAACCTCACACACTGCACAACCACACTCAACAAAATCAACCAACCTTCATCTTTTATATTCACTAGTTATCCCACACTGAAGTAGTCTTAGATTTGTAATTAGTTCCCCCCCCCCGTCCCCCACCAAGACAAATATAACTGTTTCCTGATTGGCTCTCTTTGTTTATGATCTTTTTTTATGTAACTTAGTTTGGCAGTATATTAGTAATAATGTATCTTATCAGTAAAGTAAGACTTGTCAGTCATATTTAAAATATTAATGTTTACCCAATATTTTTACTGCCTTTCCTATCCCTCTCCACCATTATCCTTGTCCTCCATCACCCTTTTTCTATATCTTCCTTCTCCTCCATCATCCACGTATTGGCAGGACACCCACCACTGGCTTCCTTTAACCCATCTATATGTCCTCGTCCACATCCACACCTCATCCACCTCTACACGTCCTCGTTTACCTCCACGTTCTCATCCACTTCCACATGTCCCAAGCCTCACACCTGTCCTTAACCACGTCATGCTCCTTCATGTTCAAAGAAACATCCAAAACCACGCCCATGTAGTCCAGAGCCAAGCCCATGTAGTCCAAGCCACACTCACCTTTGTCCTCATCCTAAACGACAATCCCTGTCCTCTCGTGACGACCTCGCGCCTTTTGATCCCTTGTGAGCCACCTCGAGCATGCGCGGTGGCCCAGAAGGACAGGTGGAGCCTTATAAAGAGAGCTCCTTCAGGTGGAGTCTGCCCCACCCCTATCCCTCCAATAATAATAATCATAATAATAATAATAATAAAAATAATAAAAGTAGGCTCGGTGGATAGCCTTACGGGAAATCGAGGGCAGCAGGTCTCTCCAGCTGCGGTGTTTATTATCACATGTTTGTCTTTTGCCTATGTTGGTGTTTTATCATTCTTTCAGTGTCCTTTTTTTCGTCTTTTTGTTTTTGGCCCTCCCCCTCCTCCTCGAACTTCAAGTGGCGGAGAGACGATATTACTGTACATTTCTAGGTGTGGCTTGTGTAACCTGAGTGGTGACCGCGAGCCTGTGTTGCAGGAGCTGCTCTTTTCATCTTGTGTTGCAGGGGCGACTCTTTTCAACGCGTGTTGCAGGAGCTGCTCTTTTCAGCTTGTGTCGGAGGAGCTGTTCTCTTTGGCACGTGTTGTAAAAGCTGCCTCTTCAACTTGTGTTGCAGGAGCTGCTTTCTTCAGCCTGTGTTGCAGGAGCAGGTCTCTTCAGCCTGTGTTGCAGGAGCAGCTTTCTTCAGCTGGTGTTGCAGGAGCAGTCCTCTTCAGAAAGGTGTTGCAGGAAAAGCCCTCTTCAGCTGGAGTTGCAGGGGTAGATTTCTTCTGCACGTGTTGCGGAAGAAGGCTGCCCTTGATGTTGCAGGAGCAGCTCTCTCCAGCCGGTGTTGCAGGAGCAGCTCCCTCCAGCCAGTGTTGCAGGAGCAGCTCTCTCCAGCCAGTGTTGCAGGAGCAGCTCTCTCCAGCCAGTGTTGCAGGAGCAGCTCTCTCCAGCCAGTGTTGCAGGAGCATCTCTCTCCAGCCAGTGTTGCAGGAGCAGCTCTCTCCAGCCAGTGTTGCAGGAGCAACTCTCTCCAGCCAGTGTTGCAGGAGCAGCTCTCTCCAGCCAGTGTTGCAGGAGCAGCTCTCTCCAGCCAGTGTTGAAGGAGCAGCTCCCTCCAGCCAGTGTTGCAGGAGCAGCTCCCTCCAGCCAGTGTTGCAGGAGCAGCTCCCTCCAGGCAGTGTTGCAGGAGCAGTCCCTCCAGCCAGTGTTGCAGGAGCAGCTCCAGCCAGTGTTGCAGGAGCAGCTCCCTCCAGCCAGTGTTGCAGGAGCAGCTCCCTCCAGCCAGTGTTGCAGGAGCAGCTCCCTCCAGCCAGTGTTGCAGGAGCAGTTCCCTCCAGCCAGTGTTGCAGGAGCAGTTCCCTCCAGCCAGTGTTGCAGGAGCAGTTCCCTCCAGCCAGTGTTGCAGGAGCAGCTCCCTCCAGCCAGTGTTGCAGGAGCAGCTCCCTCCAGCCAGTGTTGCAGGAGCAGCTCCCTCCAGCCAGTGTTGCTGGAGCTTGGGTTTAGACCGCTCGTTACTATCATGGTCCACACGCTCGAGGTCATCACCCGGCACTTAGCAGTGTTTATCATATATATTCATGTTGTGTATGCTATTCAAACCTGTATCAACCCTCTCCCTCCTTGCACTCATCCCGTAAATAACCCTTGCATATCTCTTCAGTTTTAACGGTTTTATGTATATATATAATGTGTGTGTGTGTGTGTATTTTTACCTTATGTGTTTTGGGTGTCTGAAACATTTAGACGAGTGATTATCGTAATGTTCAGTTATTTATTAATGTTTTTATTGTTATATTATTTCGTTTTCAATATTGTATATGCTAAAGTGTATTTACATTTGATGATACGTGTGTACAGATTTTATCAGCGTGTGGATAATCGTCGGAGTCTTCGAAGGTAAGTTTTTACCCTTGTGCAGAATTGCTATGTGATGTGTCAGTCAACTATGTGTGTCTATGTATATATTACTATAGATATTTTTTTTTATTTAACCGCCGTTGGTATTCCGTAGTGGCCTTGGTGTAAACCTGATGACACGGTTGACGTGTGACGTCTGTAGCAGCCTGGATGAAGGACTAATAGGTCACGTTTATTATAGGCTCCCGGCGAGGCTCTAGCTCTGCAACACTATGTATACTATATTGTTAACAATATGAGAAGCTAAACAGATGTGTGTTTTATGTGAATGAAAAGAATGTATGAACTTGCCTTAAATACATATTCAATTGACATTTGTTCTTACATGTGAATGGAAAGTATTGTATATAATATGTAGTGTTACAGTAAGTAACAAAGCTGTTTGTCAAATATTCGCTTATGAATAAGGTCATAACAGAAAAATATTGAAAATTTATGTTATAAATGTACAAATTCTTGCTCGCTAGGCTGCGTTTGTTATATTTTTAAATTTCCGCCAGACTACCATGCAGTGTGTTCAGTTCTTCCATAGTTAACATGGACGAGAGTTAAGAGGCTAAGTTAGTTTAAACAAGATACTTCTTGGGACTTAGCTAGTAGTAATTTGGTGTGTAGAGTCGTATTTTCAGAAAGTCATTCAAACTCCACCGCCCATTTTATATGACAGATTAATAACTACCACTAACGAGGCTGTCACACGCTAGTCCTTTTATCTGATCAGCTGACAGATAAGTAATTAAATATGTTATTGTTGTCAACCCGGTTGTTGGAGGCAGAGCTTATAGATTACTGTTCGGTTGCTCTTAGCACACATCCATTTAAATATAATTTAAGCGTGGAAAAACATTGAGAGGCGTAGCAGTGTAATGGGCGCTTCATCCTCTTCCTAGATGAAGCTGTTCGTCTGGCGAGAGTGAACGTCACGACATCTAGTCAGGCTGGAAATGCTCTCGTTGTTAACTTGTCTTCAGTTTTTCCTGATTTGTCCTTAGCTTGGTAGGTTCTTTAGGAGTTTTATTAGGTTTGCACCATTTCTTAGTTTAAAAGCAGATATTAAATGAAGTTGAATATGCGAGGGGTTGGTGCAGGGAATGCATACGAAATGAGACGTGAGGCGGAGGCATTTATATGATAGTGTGAAGGTGTGTTTGACAAATTTCTCCAGCTTAACATACCCACACCCTCACTCTATCTCCAGACCCTCACAACCCCACCCTCAACATCCCTCCCTCAGTCCCAGAAAAACAACCCGCACCCTCTACACTAGCACTATCACCCAGCGTACTTGTTTCTTTTAATGTGCGATTGTTATTTGTGTACTCTAAGGTATGCATGATGATTGTTGTGGTTTGAGTGAGTGTATTATTTTTGCTCGTATGTATCCTCGCCAAGAGTTCTTTTACTGCACTCAAGACTTCACGACAATGCCGTGTTTGCATTTCTTGTATATATTTATTCTACTGCAATTGCCTGTATGAGTATTTGGGGATTGTGAGGTGCCTGTGCATGAGGAGGGGATTATTGGTGAGTCGTGCACGCTTCATCCATATTCAGTCGTAAGTGTTGTCACCTGCGCAGCCTTACGGTGATCACTCCCCTATTTGCTGGATGTCAGGTGCACGGCTTAGACGTAGCACCTAGGTGTCAGATACCCAGTTCAAGCGTGTCATCTGGGTGTCAGGTGCACAGCCTAGACGTGGCACCTGAATGTCAGATGCCTAAGGCAGATGTTTATAAGAGGAGCTGGACCACTTTCTGCGTGAGTTCAAGGTCAGGCTCTGATATCTCTGTAGGTCTGCGGGCCACTAGAAGTCAGAGCGTGATTGACTTGCAGTCAGGCAGGTGTGTCCATTAAGTTGGCTGCAAGGGTAGAAGAATGGTTTAACCTGGTCACAGGTTAAACCATGGCATGTGGTTGTGCTGCTGCGGCAGACCAAGGTGCTCGTGGGTCCTGCACAGCCTGTCTTACCACTGTGGCTTCACGACACAGCTCGCTGCCATACCTTCCACCGCTCTCAGGTACAGTCACACCATCCAGTACTGTGCATGTTTTTATATCTTAATCTGTCCTCTGTTTGGAACTTCCGAGTTATCGTGAGTACAATTACAACCATATACAAATATGATTGATATTATATGAGATAAAGAAGAATATATCAGCACCTGTCCTTCAAGGGAAGGGGGGAAAGGGGAGGGGAGAAAGTGCTCTGTTGCTAGCCCAGTGAAGTGCTCTGTTGCTAGCCTAGTAAAGTGCTC